CGGCTACGGGTTCGCGCTTCGTGGGCCCCACCCCGAGTTGCCCCCGACCACAGTTCTTCCGCATTACCTGGGCGTGCAAAATGCATACACGTATTAGATGGATAGTATATATATATATATATATATATATGTGAGGCGGCTGTCTCAATCCCCCTATATGAAACACCATCTTGAGAGACATCTGAATGTGCAGCATATGACGGCTAATCTATGTCACGTTGTGAAGCTTGGCGGTTGCGACAGCATTCTGGGCGTTTTGTATTCAGCTTGGTTTCGGAGAGCGCTTGATCAATTCAATTCGTCCTTCACGGTGCGCTCGCAAGAGGAAACTAATTGAAAAGCTTATCGATTTACGAGAAGCAAGAAAACCTTGCTATTACATAAACTTCCATCAGCCTGCCATGAATAATGTCTGGCATTTTTTAGAACTTCCATAAATTCACAGGATTTCCAAACCATCAACCTTGCCCGAGTCGCACCACCCCCTCGCCCTTCATATGGTTTTGAATCCAATGGGTCAATAGAATAACACTACATTGCTTGTTCTTTGGAGTGAAATTTCGATTTCAATATAGTTTCAAGACATAACACGGAATTCCTGCATTTCCTCCTTCCTCCTCCTCCCTTCCTCCTCCTTCGTCTCTCCCCTTCCTCCTGCATCCGACGAGGGCTGAGTAGGAGGAGCGACATGAGACAAGGAGGAGTTGTCAAGTCTGGTTTTAATATAAGTTGTTTGTTTGTTTGAAGCAGGAACCCTTGCATGTATTCAATCATGTTGTTCCTTGATTCCCCGAGCAGGGCAAGAGGAGGGAGGAGTGTCCGGGGCTAGCCTTCAAACAGCGTGTTTGGTATGTGGTTTGAAGCAGGAGGCGGTCGCAAGTTTTCAGCAATAGGTTTCTGAGGGCCTGGGTAGGCAAAGCAAGATGAGGGAGGAGTGACGGAAGTTTGCCTTGCGCTGTAGTCGCGTTGTTCGTAAGCCGTTGCGTTGGTTTCGCGCTCGCCAGTGCGAGTGCAACCGAGGGGGGCAATGTTATTCGGTGTGGTTGTAGGTTGGATGTTTTTTTTCGCGCCTCAGGACGCTGCAGCGTGCTTGCAGATCTCGCGAGGCGTCGTGGCCCCCACTCGGTAACCGCTGCGTTGATGTTTGTGCTCGCTCGTCCGAGGGGGGATGTTTGGACGTTTCCCAGCTTGGCTTCAGGGAGCGCTGGATCAAGGGAGCTCGTCCTCCACAGTGCGCTCGCAAGAGGAATCTGGCTGAAAGGCTGATCGATCCTATGAGAAGCAAAGAGGCTTGGCTAGTTCTATAAATTGTGTAAACGTTCCATAACAAGCTTAGCTAGTTTTAAACGTCCATAAATCCAGGCGTTCCAGATCATCAGCCGTGCCCGACTCGCACCACCCCCTCGCCCTTCAGATGGTTTTGACAGTTTATGAATGTTTCGAGCGTGTAGAAAGATGAATATGTTTCAATTGATTTGTATTTTGGTGGGCCTTATTGAATTCGAAGAATAGCAAGGTGATCATGCTTCTTCTCCCCCTTCTCCTCCTCATCTTCCCCCTCCTCCCTCCTCTCTCCTCCCCTCCTCCTGCATCCGACGAGGGCTGAGGACGAGGCCCGACACGAGACAAGGAGGAGTGGTCACGTCTCGCAGTAAAATAGTTTGGTTGCTTGTGTTATGAAGCAGGCAGCGCTACTTGGTTTTTCAAACTTGCTTGTCTGAGAAACGGGCTTGAACAAGGCAAGAGGAGGGAGGAGTGGCAACGGCTAGTCTTCATTCAACGTTCTTTTCCCCTTTTGGGCGAACCGTCATATGGTCGCTAAACTGAGCTATGTTGGCTCCAGTACAGCGGTGCCCGTCTTAATGCACCCATTGGTCTTCTTGTTTGCCGATGCTTTTACATAAGAGACGCAGTCTCGCCATACATGCCGTTCTCTCCTTCTCTCTCCCCATCTCTCTGTCTCTATGTGTCTCCTCCCTCCTACAGAGGGGTGCGGAGGGAGGAGGAGGAGGAGGAGGAGGAGGAGGAGGAGGAGGAGGAGAGGGGAAACGAGGGCGCTCGTGGAACAAAGGGGCTCCGCCAAAGGAGGGGGCAAGAAAAGGCCGCCACGCATACATCTGTATATACATATATAAATATACACATACGCATGTAGCACACCGCAGTTGCGGATAAGAGTGTGGGGGCAGCGGGGACGTCGGCAGTGCGCGTAGCTCTGAAGAAGCCGTCGCCGCTGGCGCATAATTTTCACAAGCTGTACAACGAGCCCGCTTCGACTTTTTCGTTCAAGCAATGTGGGTGGGCCGCGAGTTCTGTCGCGGGTGGGTCGCGGGTAAAGTCGCGGGTGGGTCGCGGGTGGGTCGTGGGTGGGTCACGTGTGGGTCGCGCGTGGGTCGTGGGCGGGTCGCAAGATGGGTCGCGGGTGGGTCGCGGGGTAGGTCGCGGGTGGGGCGCGGGCGGATCGCGTGATGGGTCGTGGGTGGGTCGCGGGTGGGTCGCGGGGGGGACAAACAACAGACAACACACATCAAGCAACAAGAAACAAACACGAAACATCGACAACAACACCAACAACACCAATAACAACACCAATCAGTTTACCATTGTTCGCTCTTATTTGCGCGCCTGCCATTCAACACGTATATCCCAGCACACCTATTTCCGCCCTCTTCGTCTTCGATCGTACCCCCTTGGGGTATATCTTTCTTACCTGCAACGTGTATTTCAGGCAGCCCCCACAGAAGGGGAATAGAGAGGACGGATGGAAGAAAGGGTCAATCGGGGAGGGAGGAGGATGGGGCACGAGAGAGAGAGAGAGTAGCAAGAGGCGGGCTAGGAACAGAAAACACGTGGCAGAACCAGGCGGGCAGATCGGGCGGGTAGACCCGACCAGGCTGGTCGGGAAGGATGGCCCAGGCGGCCAGGTCGAGCAGGCGGGTTGCTGAAGCGCGCGACCTGCAGGAATCGTGAGTTTCGAACGAGAGCGCGATTCTCAAGTAAATCGTGCGATCGGCCAAGTCGTGAGCGTGATTCCTGAGAGTCGAGGGCACGGCGTCTAAATACGTTGCGAAAAGATCCCACGCGAGAGCGCGATTTCTGCATCATTGTGAACAAGTATCAGAAAGGAACAGTTGTTGTTGCAACTGGGGGGCCAGGGTCCCAATTCTGAGACCCAAGATTTTCCTTAACATGAATCCGAGTGCGAGCCCCGCGAAGGGCACTTCAATTGAACAATACACTGGGCCCCGGAGAGGGTGGATCAACAAGAACTGTTTTTGAGTAGTGGGAGTTCAAGAACAAGAACAACAGCAACATAAACATTCCGCACAGCAGAACCTCAGTTCAACCACGCGCCCAGGGACAGTGAATGACCGCTCGGCTCCCTCACTCAGAGATGCTTATATATATATGTGTATATATATGTATACGTGTAGATGAGGCGCTCCAGAGAAGAGAGAAGGACTCGCTGTCAACAGTCGAAGAAGTTGTCCTGTCTTCCTCGGCGGAGGGTCAGTGGAAGCCACCGGGAGTAAGTCGACTCCGCCTCCGCTGGCGGAAGCCAGCGGAAGGTTGGCGAAAGCCTGCGGAAGTATAAGCACGTGCCCCAAGAGACGGGCACAGGTTACGTTTCAGGGTTTTTGGAACTGGCCATCCATAGATATGCGTACGCATGAATGTTTTGCATAAAGCTGTAAACGTTAGCCATGTAACGCGAGATGTATTTGACAGTCTGATGCTGCCATCCAAAAATTCAGATGGTACTGCAAACTTGTATATATAGTACGACACCGACATCCATTCACCATAGCACAATGATTCTAGCCAGATGTCATCAGCTATCTCCCAGTCTTCTAGCATGTTGTCAGGTGTTTCCATGTACTTTCGGAACGCCAGAATCCAGGATTGCGGCCCCACTAATCCCAACAAGCCCCACGCACCCTAAGCTCCCACAGCCTACACAGCGACTTGGTACGTCCGATGTAGCTGTCTCAGCGGCGGCGCACGATCGACAAGAAATAGCATGGCGGCCCTGAACAAGATGCTTGGAACTCGAAGTACGCACACTGCGCACATCGTCTACGTACACGCGCTGTTTGCAGCATCGCCGCCGTGTCGTATTGAGGGCGAGAGCCCAAAGGGAGCTCGTATTAACGTTTGCAGGACGCGCTGACACGTGTAAGCACGTCCGGTCAACATCTACGTGCCCCGAGCGTGATTCAAAAACGAGTCGTGTTCATAACCTGGCCATCCTTCCTACTGCAAGACTGCAATCCAGCAGGGGTTCACAGTGAGGTGCGAACCCCACTAGACCCGACTGGAGCAATAGTAGCGATGAAGTTCGTCATCGTGGGCATTCTGATAATGGAAGTGGTCCTACGGAGAGGGCGCTTGTTTTTAAGCTTGTTACCAGAATTGCCTACGACCCCTTCGTTGTATCATCAGGTACTGCAGGTCATGTGAATCCAACCCGGACCCCATATCGTGACTCGGCAACAATATGTGTAAGCAGATCGTGCCCCATAGTAGTAGCTGGCTTTACGGCAGTCCCCATTTGCTATCATACACATACACACCCACTCGCAATAACCCTGTATGAATGTAGAGAGCAGCGCCGCCCTTGTAACAGGATTGCATCGGGGGGGGGGATGGATTCAAAGTAGTTGCACTGGTGGCGGTTGGAGAAAGATCCCCATACATGAAGCGTACTCGCGAACTTGTGCCTATGTACCCCTACGGTGCCAGCAGTTCAATCGTTGAAAAATCATGATCGCACAACCTCAACCCCATCCAGGTCTCAGACGAAGCGTGCGTAATCCCTGTCATAGATGTAGCCATAGATGTAGCCATCCCTGTACGTTATGAATGTTGTCATAGATGTAGCCATCCCTGCTTTTGTCGGAAGGACCTGCAGCGCAGTGCAGCTCCAAGGTCTCCGAAAGAGATGCAGTTTGTCATAGTCATGGTTTGAGTTGGCTCAAGAGGTTCGAAAGGTCGAGCTCATGATGGGGAGAGCGGCCCGTCTGTTGACCCTCATGAGGCCCGTGGCACTTATCCCGTCCGCCTTCCTGGTTGCCGCGGGCGCCGACACTCGCAGCGTCGTCTTCGTCAAGCGTGACGCGACCACCCTTCTCTCCGAGCTCAACGACCGCGCCGATCCTTCGTCGACGGCCTTTCTGAAGTGGATGACTAAGGATGAGGTCGCCGCAGTGCTTCGACCCAACCCCGCGCACCTCGAGCACGTCATCCTGGAGGCGACGCGCCACGGCGCCTCGTCTGTCTCCGTCGTTGGTGGAGACAAGGTGGAGGTGTTCTTCCCAGCGGAAGCGTCGTCGGCGGCGTACCACGAGTCTATGACGCGCGCGGCTCACGCCGTGGATTTTGTCGTGTCTTCCGGGGTGTCCGTGTCCTCCGGGGCGTCCGCGGCGGCGGCGTTCTCTCTCAGCACAGCCCCTCGCGGCAGCCGCAGCCACAGGCGCAAGGTCAACAGCACCACCGCCGCCGCTGCCTTCAGAATGGTAGCGCCCACAAAGGGGTGTTCGGATGCAACTCCTGGGAGGTCAAATTCTGATTTTGCCCTGGTCCGAAGTCTGGTTTAATCCGGCTTAATCCCGCTGAATCCCGCGTTATCCGGCTCAGTCCCGCTTAATCCGAGGCCCACTCTTGCGCGGCAGCCCCCCCAAATGGCGCTCAATCCTCCTCAGTCCGTCCGACGAAAGCCTCCCAGCAGTGGCCTCCTGAGGGGTGGCGCGAGGGGGGTGGCCACCTGAGCAGGCCGAGGGGGCGTCTTCAAGGCAGGGGCCTTTCTCTCGAAGGGCCCGGCGCCTGGCGGCCTCTCGGACAGCGTTGCCGCAGCCTCCGAGGGGGGCGAGGAGGGCGGGGAGGGCGAGGCGCGCGAGCAGGAGGCGGAGGAGGAGGAGGGAGCGGCGGAGGAGGGAGGGGGGGGGAGGAGGAGGAGAAGGGAGCGGCGGAGAGGGAGGAGGAGGAGGAGGAGGAGGAGGAGGAGGAGGAGGAGGAGGAGGGCCTTCTTAGCTCCTACGAGCGCCCTCTGCCTTCTTCTGAGGCCGCCCCCCTCGCGCCGCCTGCCCCCCTGTGGGCGCCGCCGGCCAGCAGCTCCAGCGATCCCCAGGCGTGCCTGGCGAGCATCGATGGCGTGACCGGCAGCTGCATCCTCAAGGCCTTCTCGGGGGCGGCCAAGTGGGGGGTGATGACCAGGGGGGGGGGGGATATCATGGCGTGGGCCATGATATTTCCCCAGTTTTCATGGCGCCTCTTCTTTTTTCATGACGTCCCTGGACCCCCCGCTGGGCCGCGCACATGCCGCCGGCCATGTTTTGCACCCCCCCCTCTTGGACACCCCCCTCTTGGCCGCTCCCGACCTTAGCTGCCCGGATACGCCCGTCTTGAAACGCAACACGTGCCGTGTTCACAACGCCCGTGTTGACACGTCGCGTGTTGGCTTGGCGCATCGGCCCACGTTCGGGCGAACGCATCGCGCCGAACGCACGTGCTCAATCTACGTGTTGGGCTCCGTGTCAACGCCCCACGGGTTGCGTGTGGCGTGCCGGGGCAGCTAAGCGCAAGGCGTACGGCCTGGACGGCTTTGGCCTTGGCGCTGGCGGCGGCGGCCAGGCGTTCGTGGTGAACCAGGGGTTCGTGCCCCATGATGTTTCCCAGTTTCAGCAGGAGAACAAACTCGTGTCGATCTCGAGGGGGGAGACCCGTGACCATGACCACGATGTCGCTGGATCTTGTAGACGCCAATCTCTGTCATGGACCATGCTGGCTGCGAGGATGATCCACAGCTCGGCGTTTACCAAGATAAGAGATGGCCATGATCGACTCCGTCGTTTCCACGTTGAGTCTTGGGCATGATCACCGGTTTTTTCCCTCCACCAACCCCGTGGCCCACATCGTCGGGACGAACTCGGGCAAGGCGGGTGACGAGGCGTCGCTCGACGCCGAGATCATCACCACCACTGGCAGGGGCATTGAGACGACCTACGTGTACATCGACGGGGGCACGTCCAATCCCTTCGCGAACTGGCTGATCTGGGCGGCCAAGGCATCGGACGCGGAGCTTCCCAAGGTGCACTCGCTAAGCGTCGGCGCGCCCGAGGGCGCCGTGGGTGACGTCATCATCCAGCGGATGAACACGGAGATGGCGGCGCTCGGCGTTCGAGGTGTGTCGATCGTCTTCGCCTCGGGCGACTCCGGGTACCAGCCCGAGCAGAAGTTCGGCGCTGCCAGCCCCTACGTCACCTCGGTCGGCGGCGTCTACAATGGCGAGATGCGGCAGTCGGGGCTCCAGGCCGACTCGCTCACTACCGGGGGGTTTGCCGCGAGCAAGCACAACACGGCGCAGCCCTGGCAGGCTGCGGCCATCGCGTCGTACACCAAGATTGGCGGCGCCAAAAAGGGGGGTGGCGTGAGGGGGGGTGGCCTTTCAAAATGGCGGCGGGGAGTCGAAGGAGGCAGATGAGCCTCTCAGCAGACTGCCCGCCTGTTGAGAAGCCTTCTGGGGAGCCTCCAGGGGCTTCTAGGAAGGCTCCTTCGCCTTTTCAGGAATGGGCGCAACGAGTCCTGCTCCTCCTCCTCCCTTTCCTCCTCGCCCACCCCCCTCCGCTTTCTCCGAGCAGGCCTACCCCATGGCGGCCCCCTTCCTTGTAGTCGCCGCCAAGCAAGAACCGGAGGCCTGGCTCCCAGCCCGCCACGATTCGGTTGGGCGTCAGAGCGACATCTTGCTGGAGTGACCTTCGATGTTCATGAATATCAAGCTGCCCGTGAACTGTAGACCTGCCCAGCGCACCCCTCAAGGTAGATCCCTAGCCTTCGCGCGCGGCCTACATGTCCAGGTCCTTCAGGTCGGGATCCACATTTCAGGGTGCTGAGGTTCGCGAGGGTCGACATTTCAGCGTCCGTCTGGTCGAGGTCTACATGAGAGCCCCCTTGCGTGGGTGTACATTTTGATGCCTTTCTCGCGGGTCTACATTTGTGGGGGCCTCTAGCGCTTCGCCGACACAGGGGCCCCCCCCAGCAACGGCTAGCGCTCTTGGTCTTTGGCCTCCCCGCGGGCCCTCTGAAGCCGCGCACCACGGGTCACTCTTTGCCAGGGGTCACTTTTGCGTGCAGCCGGGCGATCGACCCCACGCGGCGGGCCGTGCCCGACGTCTCCGCCTACGACGACGAAGTCAACATCGTGCAGGACGGGGCGCCCACCTCGCTCTCTGGGACCAGCGCGGCCTGCCCCATGGTGGCTGGTATGCTGGCCGGGATCAACGCCGCGCTGCATGCTGCGGGCCACAAGGCTCGAGGAAGAAGAAGACGTGGCACGAAAATGAATGTCCGTTACCAGCCTGCAGCATAAACCAAACATAACCCCTCAGAACACACCGCAACTTTCACGCATTTTAGATTTTGATGTAGAAGTTCCAGAGCCTGTATTGCATCCTGGACGTTTTCCTGGAGTTTCCGTTTTCGTGTAATATTTGTACATATTGTCCAGGTTCAAGAACACGCCGAGAGTGACGTACATGCTCTTATGTGCGTAACTCTAAGCTGGGGGTGTATCCATATCCCCATGATTGGCATCGGCTCCTCTCGATGCCGATCTCGGGGGCATCCTTGAGTTTCTGAGGGCGCATCCCTAGGATCGCCGTCGCCTCTATGGCTTGTCGACCTTAGGGGTCGGGACGAGCTCAAGGCCGGTTTGCTTCGGAGCTCCGCGCAGATGTCTTGGAGCGGCGCTGGAGCTCCGCGGCGGCGCGTCCTGCGTCTCTCCTGGGGCGCCCCTCGCGCCGGGTAGTGGGTCCCAGCGCCGATCCATGAGATCCGCGCGGGCCCTCGCAAGTGTACATCAGATTTCGTAATAAAGGGAGGGGGGTCTCATTTCGGGGGGGAGGGTCTCTTCCAGGCAATCTTGGAGGGCCTGGGGGGTCTGGGGACGATGTTTTGGAGGGTTTTCCCACTGGGGAGGTCTGAAATGGCTTGTCTTGGAGGGTCCAGACCCCCTCCCTTTTATTACGAAATCTGGAGTATGTTAATGCCGTTTTTGCTGCCCGAGCCAGACGACCCTTGGGTTTGCCAACCCGTTCCTCTACGCCAACGAGGCGGCGTTCCTGGACATCACCGAGGGCGACAACCGCGGCATCTCGGCGGTGAAAGGGTACGACCCAATCTCGGGCCTCGGCACGTTCAGGGTTGACACCTTCGCGAAGCTCAGGGACGCGGCCCTCAAGGCTCTCGCGGAGAGGGCGATGGTGGTGTAGACTCAAGGGCTAGTTGAGGCCGAAGTTTTGACGCTGTTGAGCCATATGGTGATGCCATGGGCCAGCCGAAGCTTCGATGCTATCGAGACGCTGCGTGGTTTATATTAATGGCCGATTGGGTCATGAGGTCTCCCTCATGTGTTCCGCACATCCTGAGCGGCACGCTTCGAGGGGCAGCCGCAGGTGCACCAGGTTTGCTTCGCGCTGCCGCGGGAAGGAGCAGTGTTTAGTGGCAGTGCGAGTCGTTACACTGCGCCGGCTGAGACGTGATATTACAAGGTGGGGGTTGCGTTTCATATTTGAAGCTTCTGGCGACGCCATTATCCAGCGCCGATGCCTTAGGACGACGCCACATAGCAACGCCACATGGCGACGCCATATGGCGATGCGGCGATGCTGCAGACCGCCAGCGCCGCGTCGTCGCAGCTCATCTGCATCCTCAGCCTCCGTCATCGTCGGCCGCGTCGTCATCCAGCGCCCCAGCTACTACAGAACTACGCATAACATGAGTGTGCTCGCGGCATGGACTTCGGATGCTGAAACCTCGGACTCGTCATCTGGGCTACTTGCACTCCCCCTCCGCCTCCCCGCCTCCTTCCTTCGTCCCCTCCTCTTCTTCCTCCGCCTCCTCTTCCCCATGACCGCCACCGACATGAGTTGACACAGCAGGCGCGCCAAACAAGGAGCTAGCCGGCCAGCGGGTGCCACACGGAAGCGCTTCATCCCCCAGAGGCGCTGGAGACCCACAGGGGTCTTGCAGCCGCTGGGGACGGCCCCGTACCCATCTATTTCTTGTAGATAGCTTCGAACAAGAGAACTTGCATACACATGTCCAGACAGCTCTCTCAGAAGAGCGCTCCAGATCAGACGCCAGCACCGCAGGGTGGCCCCGGAGCTCGCTTCATCCTCCGGCAGGACACCTCGCTGCAGCTCCTGTGAGTTGTGAGCGTCTCCCCGAAGTTAAACAAAAAAACTTTATCCAAACACTTGTGCCGTCAAGTCTGCCGGAAGCTCCTGCCCAGAGCTTCCAGAGCTCCTTCAAAGCACCTTCCAGAAACTTCTGTCGCCTCGCTCCGGGTTTGGGACACCACAAATTTGGTTCCGTATGTCCGCGTGGATCTCTTGGGTCGGCGCTGGGCTTCCCCCCTGTTCGGTCGCCACGTGTGAGCCCTACCCCCACCCCCCACGATTTCTGAGGGTGGCGTGGGGGTTCACTTCGTTCGGGAGCTCCCGAGCGGAGTGAACCCCCACCCCCCGTTAGAAATCGTGGGGTGTGGGTGTTGGATTCACATGTGGCCACCTAGCTCTCTCGCGCCGAGCGATCAGTTGGGGCCACGCAAGTCCATGTGTCGCCTCGGCCGTTCTTGTGGTCGCCGCCGAGCGTCATCCCGCTGGCCACGCTCGCCCTGGCGGGCCGCGTGTGGCCGCCTACCTGTCGCGCTCCGCGCGCCAGAAGAGGAGGGGGGAGGGCCCGGGGCCAGACCGGGCGATCCCGAGCGGGCCTCCGCAGGTGTCGGTGTGTGCCGCTCGCTGTTCAAGAAGAGCGGCTCGCTCCGCAGATTTTTTGAAGAGTCCAGATGAATCCAGAGGTAGATCTTTTCTAGGAATCTCTGCGGAATGTCGGAATAATCTCTGAGGATGATCGAATGAAGACCAACTGAATGTTGAGGAACCTTGGGGAATCTCAATCTCACAGGAATTCTTGAAGGGGCTTCCAGAGCGGTTGGACTTGGTACCAATGGGTTGGACTTGGTACCAGAGTACTTGGAATCCGGCTCAGTCGGTTGTAATCGTTCCATTTTTGGTCGTCCCCCCCGGTTCTTTGGTTCGAAGTGGGGGGGGGGGCTTCAGTGCCCCCCCCCCCGGCTTCCGGGCAGGGGGGCGTGCCCCTCCTGGTTCCCAAGGGGGGGAAGGGGGGGGGAAGTGTTACCCCGGTGTGGTGGTGATTTCCCCAGCCTTGCGACGGTAGATCGCGCTCCCTCTCATATCCCGATCCATTTCCCTATAACAGTCTTTCCATCATTCGTTATCCCTAACCTTATCCCGATCCCCACCCTCCCATCGTGAAGCTGTTCAGGGTCTTCTGGCGCAAGGGTGTCATTCTGTCTGGAAGAGTCACAGGCACGTACAGGGGACGGTGACGATGAGGCACTTCACTGGGGCAATCGTTTTCACCATTTCTCGCTCCTCGTGTGCAGGAGCTCGTCCACCAAGAAGGCGCCCGTGCCCAACGGCAACTCGTCCGCCACGACCGAGAACAGGACCTGCGGATGGGGGGGTGTCAGGGGGCCGGTTTTGAGTTGAATTGCCTTCACCCCCCCTCTTGGGGCCCAGCCAACTCAGACCCACTGGCCGCTCGACGATCGGGACTCGAGGATAGACGTTCGAGCATCGAGGTCCGAGAATGCAGCTGTTTCTGCGTGTTCGGGGCCGCCTTTCGACTGGGCACGAAGCCAAGCCGAGCCACGCCGGGCCGTCATGGACGGCCCAGTCCCCCTCCACCCGGCGAGCCGACTAGTTTTTTCGGCCCGCTGGGTTCCAGCATGGCCATCTGCGGGCATCTCATCCTTGAGGGGGGGCGTCGGGCTCGTCACGGACCGCGGTCGCAGACGAGGAGGAGGGGAGGAGGAGGAGGAGGAGGAGGAGGAGGAGGAGGAGGAGGTTCAGGAGGAGAAGGAGGAGGAGGAGGAAAAGGACCATGAGGGGGAGGAGAGGAAGGAGGGCGGGGAGGCAAGCAGAGGTGTAGGACGAGGGGGGAAGATGAGAAGGAGCTGGGGGGGTCGACGGGGCGAGGCTGAGGAGCAACGGTGCTGAACACGCCGCCAGCGCCAGTGTTTGCCCTACCAGACGGGAGGCGGCGCACGACGAATGACGGAGGAGTTGGAGCACGACGACGACGACGACGAGGCTGAAGGACAAGAAAGGAGGAGGAGGACGAGGAGGAGGAGGAGGAGGTGGCGAAGAAGGAGTAGGAAGAGGAGAAGTCGGAGGAGGAGTAGGAGGAGAAGGAATAGGAGGAGGAATAGGAGGAGGAGGAGGGAGAAGGGATGATTAGGGAAGATGTGGAGGAAAGACGAGAATAGAGAAGGAAGAGGAAGAGAAAGGTGGTTCTACGTGCCTCGCCGTGTCTTCGCCGTGCCTCGCCTTCCTCTGCCCCGCCTCCCCTGACATCCGACGCTGAGTCTTCCCCCACCCGAAAGGTTGGGGCTATTGA